TTCTTGATTTGTATTGTCTATTCTACTCATGTTACTGTCACTGTCACTGTCCTCCTGTTGTTCATCATTTTGCTTGACTGGGCCCAGTTTTGACTCCATTGTGAGACTTGTTGTTACTGTGTTTGGCATATCAAATACGTCATGGGTAGCTTGCCAGGCTTTGCTGTGCAGGCAAGATAACTCTCAGTAGCTTGCTGGGCTCTCCAGGAGGGGCGGAGAAATCAAACCTGGGTTGGCTGGGTTGGCCATATGCAAGGCAAATGCCCCTACCTGCTGGGCTATTGCTCCAGCCCATGTATTAATTTAAGATTTTTCCTTACTAAATTATTTTATTATGAGATAATATTGTCATTAAATGTATAATATTTTATAACTATCAATATGCCCTAAAGGTAAAAATAATCTTACATTATCTTTAACAGTTCTTATACTTTTAATTTATTTCTCTGATTACATTTGCTAATACTTTCAATACAGTAGTGAGTAATGATGGAAATACTGGGCTTCCTCCTCTTATTCTAAATCTTTATTCTTAGTCTGATTCTTTTTTTGTTTTCTTTTGTTTTGGGTCACACCCGGAGATGCACAGGGGTTACTTCTGGCTCTGCACTCAGGATTCACCCCTGGCGGTGCTCAGGGGACCATATGGGATGCTGGGAATCAAACCCAAGTTGGCCACTTGCAAGGCAAACGCCCTATCTGCTGTGCTATTGCTCCAGCCTTCCTAGTCTGATTCTTAAGTAATAATGCTTTTAATGTTTTCCTATTAAGAATGATACTGTTTTTGGTTTTTTAAATAGAAATATTTTTAAGTTAGAAAAGTGTCCGTAATTTATACGTTGGAGAATTTTAGTAATCAGTAAAAGCTGAAATTTTATTAAGGATTTTTAGCATCTTTGAAGATGACTTTGGGCAATATGACATTAATGAACTTTGTAATATGAAACCACCTGGCATTTATTGAAAAAATTCCCTTTGTTAAATGTATTAGTTTTTAATATGGTATATTCTGTTGTAGGAAAATATATTATGGCATAGTCAATCCATATAATAGTTTGAATGAGCAAAACCTACTTGGATAAATATAAAAAACATACTGTTGAATGAAAGAGGTGTAAAGAAAACATTTGTTCCATTTACTCAACTCTCGGTATTTAAAATACTACTGCTATTCTTGTCCTTGAAATATGTGTGGGATTTTCCACGCTAAGCACTTATCTTATTTCTTAAATACTAGCTAGATATCCCACAGTTTAACCATCTATTTAACACTATTTAGATGAAGATGTTATTTGACCCCACATATTAAGTTCTAAGTACCAAAAGACTCCCTTCTCCCATTGGCCACTTAAGATGTTGATGGCAATTCTAGGTTGTTATCTATGCTTCTGAGCAGCTAGCTCTCATTTTGGAGGTGCCCATGACCTCCTTGGGTTATATTAATTTACTATGTTGACTCACAGAACTTAGGAACAATGTGCTTTCTAGGATTATAGTTTATGACAAAGGCCATTAAAGGGTATGAAAAAATAGCCAGACAAATGTGGTACAAAGTATGGGGCTGAAAAGGGCCCAAGTACAGAAGTTTCTGTCTTGTGGATGCATTCTTCCAACCTGAAATCCCCCTTAATTTCATTCTTTTGGAAGTTACATGAAGGTATCATTACTTAGATATTAATTGATAAATCACTGGTCCCTTGTAGTTGATTCTCTTCCTAAAGAACCAGTTGAAGCTTTTCTTCCCTTCCAGGAGGTCCAGGTTTGGAACTGAAAGGTCTAACCCTCCTAATTATGTACTTGGTTTCTCTGTCTACTGGGGCCTTCCAAACATGGCCTCACTAATATAAACTGTGATGTGTTGCAAAGTGTCATGTAATGAATCACAAACACTTTTAACTTTATTACCCTAGAGCCATTTTAAGTATACTACAACATTTTAAGAACACAAGTTAAAGTTTCATAACAGAATATTCTTATTCCTCTTATTGCTTTGGCAATTATAAGATTTTTAGGAGTCTTGTTCCTAGAGTGAAAGGAAGAGCAAATATCATAAAAGGTTGATCAAAAATATACAAAATGTATGGCTCCATTTATGGAAATTTCAAAAACGGGCAAAGCTAGTGAACAGTGTTATAAGTGAAGGTATTACTTATTCCTGTGGGTCAGAAGTAAATATTAGGAAGAGGCATGGTACTCTTTTGTTTCTTACTCTGGGTACTATTTTCAAGGATATATTTATTTTAAAATATTTCTCACAATAAACAATTAATGTTTCTGATTTTTTGGTTTTGTTTTTGGCCATGCCTGGCAGTGCTTAGGGGTTATTACTACCTTTGCACTCAGGAATTGTGCCTGACAGTGCTTAGGGGACCATATGGGGTGCCAAGGATTAAGCCTGAATCAACCACCTTGGGCACATACACTACTCTTTGTACTATCACTCTGGTCCTGGATTCTGATTTTCTGAATGTATGTTATATAATAAAATTTGAGAATAATGAAAACTGAGAGTAAAGAGTGGGATAAGGGAGATAGAATGAGAAAAGATAAATTATAAGATTTATTTGATAGGTAATGAAAGATTTAAGAAAATGTATTTTGAATAGAAAATTTTTTTTAAAGATTCATCATTTTTACTAGCTCATGTTTTATTGACATATCTAATTAAAGTTCTTTGGACATTTGTGGAAATAAAAATTATACTTTTATATAAAAATGTAGCCATTTTGTTAGAAATATTTATTAAAAACTGTGGGGATTATTTATAGACTAAATGTCCTATCAGATATTTAACATAGTTCAGGTCAACAAGAATTATATCATTATCAGGAGAGCAGATTTTTAGGTTAAATAGTGACTTGGAACTTGATATATACATACATTTAATAACTTTGAAACCAGTATATTTAATAATTTGATATATGGTAAAGGTGTAAGACTACTGGTTTGAAAAAAATATCCTATGCTTCACAGTATATGGTACAATAGTTCACATGGTTTAAATTGTTATATTGAAAATGATCTTCATTTAAACTTAAACTTCTCTGAGTGCCAAGTTTAGATGGTTTGAAAAACAGGCAGTTTATCACCGGTCCACCCTTCTTTGTTTAACCATAGTGGTTTACAAGTTGTTCATTTTATATTTCTGTTACCACTAGATGGCTAACAGAATAATAAAAAATGTTACAGTAGAAGAAAATTTGTGAAAATTGTTTTATCTCACCATGGAGATATTAAGTCCTTGTCCGAGGCTTACTAAGCTGTTGTTGCAAAGTAAGCCTTCTGTGTCAATGATTTTGTTAGTTGAGCTTAGTTTGCTTCTACATTACATTCCACCCAATCTGGGTGGTACTACTGGGATTTCAGTGTTGTAGAGTTTGGAGATGTTGCTCCAGAAAATTCAGAATATTAAACTGAGAAGTCTGGCGGGTACATGGCAGCAGCTGTTGTTCGGGTGTGAGTGTGACTGCTTGGGCTTTGTTAGGGTGGAAGCTGGTTCACCCCCATCCCGAGATCCCCCAGGAAGGCTCAGCCAGAAATGGGTATCCTAGAAACGGTTGCTGCTAGTTGATCTCTCTCAAATTTACTTATTCCTATAGTTCTAGAGATTGGAAAACTAAGACTGCGGTGCTAGTAGATTCAGTTCTGGTGAGCACCTTCATTTTTGTTGTATTCTCAACTTGTATGAGGTAAAGAGGGGTCTAATTTCCCTTTAGGTTTTAAGTAAGTGCACTAATCAAATTATGGGTTGATTCTTAGACTCATATCTAAATCTTATTACTTCCTGAAATACTGTCTAAAGACTATCACGTTGAAGATTTGGCTTCAACATAAAACTTTTGACTTATACTTCATTCCATAATTTTCATGAATCATTAATATTAGAGGGGAAAGATAACACCAGGCAATTTTCCCAAAAGGAATGATGCACGAAAATAGTACCATTCATCAAAGAATTACATATTGAACTTCAAAATCTTAAATTATTTTATAGTGAATTCCATTCAATATTTTTGAGAGCTTTTGGTGACTGGCTATGTACCATTTTTGGCAACATAGCTGTAAATAAAGGAAACACCACATATAAAGTTCTTTAGAAAGACAGATTAAGACCAAGAGTTCCATACGTACCTAAAATGACTAGGTGAGCATCGTAAATTAACCCCTGTCCTGTTTCCCAGGAGATCTATATCTGTTAGATCATGGATAAGCATTGAGGGAAAATTACTGTAATTCAGACAAAGAGGATGATGAATAATGAAACCTCAGAAGTAAGCAGATATATTAGGCTTTTTTGCTACTTAATATTTTGTTCCCAGTCTCATAGATGAGAAGTCGTACGTAACTCTAAGTATATATACAGTAAAGTAAAACATGTGCAGGAATGGTTGAAAGAATAGAATTGGACTCATTAAAACACAATTTGCTTGGATTATGAACATTTTGCAAAAAGAATTTGTCAAAGGGAAGTTCCTTGCTCTTTTCATTCTCTTTGTAGTCAGTGGTTTGTAGAAGAGTGGGAAAAAATGTTACCATAGGTTGGGAGGATTGGATAAGTTATTCACACAGTGACAGTAAATGACAATAAAGGAGAGAGTAGAGTGTAAGTGGAGATTGTGAACTTAAGGGTTTCTGAAAAATATCAAGTAGTGTTGGAGGTAGAAGATACTTCTTACTCACGAAAAGCTGCAGGAGAGTCATCACAGGAGAACATTACAAAGGATTCTAATATCTCAGTGGTTCTCAAGGGAATAGGGGTTCAGTATTTTGGAACAGAGGGGTAAAAGTGGACTAATTAAGGGAGGGAACTAAAGTAGGAAATCAGGTCTCTGAACTGATTGGCTTTGAAGGGAGACATACCAATGAGAATCCTGCAGTGTAAAGTAGACGAAGCCATCATTATTCAGATGGTTTAGCAACTATATCTTATGAGTAAAGTAACTGTAAAACTCGGCTAACATATTTGCATTCTTTTTTTCTTGTCTGCCTCTAAATTTCAGCTCATTGTGAATGGTGCTCCTGAGAGCCTTCCGTGATTACTACTCATGTATTTCTTTCCCTGAGACACCTTCTTGAAGGACTAGCAAACATATATTCAGATATAAGACTAAATTAATGGAGCCTTCAAAGAGATTATGTTCATCTTGCTGAAACTGGTAAGAGATTAAAAATGCATGTGATATTTGATGTCATAACATGTTCTGAAGTATTTATGCCTTGTTATAAATTGGAAAATTTTGATAGCTAAATAGACATATGTTGAGAGGGAAAAATAGCCTACCAGAAAATGGCATTGATGGATATGTTTATTATTAGCTAGGAATATGCTGATGTAATTGAAGATATTTTTATTACTTGTGTAAATGATAGGGAGCTAACATTAGGTGCAATGGGACTCTTATCACATTCTTCTTTTAAAATATAACTAATATAGTTTTCTAAAACCTGTAATTACTATAAACTATGTAATTTCTACAACTGTAAAAATCAATAACTGTAGAATAGAAAGGCTATCTCCTTGAAATTGATTATGATGAAATTATACCTATAATGATTATCTTCATAGAAATCCTTTCATAATTGTCAGATTCACTTACTGTACTTCTAGTGCATGTAAATTTATTTCTGCAGATCTTCCTTCAATGTCAAAATTTCTGTTAGAAGATGCTTAATCATCATTCACTCCTGTCAGGGTTAATTAGCAAAAAAGAGAACCAGAGCTAAGAAAAGACAGTAAATTTGAATCAGATTTCAGAATAGAGTTACTGAGGAAATACTTGGGCAAGATAAAAGTGTAAGCAGAGAATACCACATCTCATACAACTCCATGCCATTGGTTACCAGGAGGTCAGAGCAAAGTAATGAAAATAGTTATTTAGGCCTGAATGTGAATTAAACTTGGGTGAATAGATACAGAAAACAAAGGCCATTTAGAGATTTTACTTCTCAGGAGAGGCAGTTATTCAGTAGCCCAGATACTGAGATTCAGAATGAGTAGGACCTTGTACGTAAACATAGACTTGCAATATTTATAGTGAGGATTTTAGAAGTCTCCAGATACAGATTGATCAACATTATGTCACAACTCGTCATAAATTTTACACGCATTTTAGGAAAGGGATATCTGAAAGTTTTTAGTGATAGAAGCCTGATACATGAAAACTGGAAAGGTTGAATGGTGGTCTGTACCCCTGCATTAGAGCATGGTGACTGGCATCATAAGCTTTGAGAACAGAATGTCTTTTTCTCTGATTTGAACTCTGACTCTGTCTACTTTTGTAAATGACTTTTGGTGAAGCTGTGAAAAGTGAATGAGTGAAGTTGTAAAGAGTGCATCAGATGAGCGAGGCACACTATGAAGTATTAGTATTGTTAGGTGACTGTATGGAAATGTGCTATTGCAGGTTCCCCAGTTTTCTTATTTTTACAGTTTAAACAGCAGAATAAATAAAGCAAGCCTACATTACTTTATTATTTTATATGAAATTTTTATTTTATTGAATCACCGTGAAATAGAGCATTACAAAACTGCTCATGATTGGGCTTTAGTCATACAATGTTCCAAAACCCATGCCTCCATCAGTGTTATTTCCAAGCACCAATGTTGCCAGTTTCTCTCCCACCCCTCACAAAACACCTCCCACCCCCGCCTGCCTCTATGGCAGGCACCTCTTCTCTCTCTCTCTCTCTCTCTCTCTCTCTCTCTCTCTCTCTCTCTCTCTCTCTCTCTCTCTCTTTCTCTCTCTCTCTCTCTCATTTTAGTCATTTTGTCCCATCTATTCTTATTGCTATGTAAATAGTAAATTCCTTATAGTAAATTGTTTTGAGGGAAAATCTTAAAAGTAAGCAGCAGAGATTTCATGAAGCTCCAGTAGTTCGGCAATTAGTAAATGAGATTCTCCTAATGTGTCGTTACATATGTTGGCTTCCATTAATATATGAGTACATACAGGAAACAGTTTACATTATTACTTTCTTCCTTGTGATTTCATGTTTCATGGTTCCAGTTATTCATCATTAAATGTTATATTCTGTAAGACATTTTTGTGGGGAGTGGAAGAGATGAGGAGAGAGCACAATGCAGCATATTGTTATAATTCTGCATTATTATTGATGTTCATATTTTACTAAACCTTATTTATAATTTGAACTTTATCATAATTATGCTTGTATAAGGAAAATACATAACTAGGGTTTGATACTATCTTTGGTTTCAGAAATGCACCAGGGAGTTGTATTATCTATGTATTAATAAAAAAGCAGCTCCTGTCCTAAGAGTATATAGCATCTTTCTTAAAAATTACTTGTTATGTAAAAGTTGTACATTCATCAATGTGACCTTTCATTCAAAACTCATAGATACAACCACCTATGGTCTATTTACCTTACTGTTATTTCTTATATCTTACCTGATAAGTAATATGTATTCAGTAAATATTCAGGGAATGATTATTGAACTTTAAAATAATAATTACATATCAAGGACATCTTGCAAAGATGTGTTATAATTGATTATAAACAATCTTATTTTTTGCACCTTATATGCTAAGATATTCTATGAATTATTTATTTTCTAAAGAAGTATTTATTAAATCTGTGCCATATAAGCATCACTTTTCTTGGTTATATATATCTATATAATAAGCAAAATTGATAAAAATAAATGCCCTACCTTTTTGGTCTTTACTTTCTTGCTGCTAAAAGTATTATCACTGTCACTATCCTCCCGTTGTTCATCGATTTGCTCGAGCGGGCCCAGTAATGTCTCCATCGTGAGACTTTGTTGTTACTGTGTTTGGCATATCGAATTCATGGGGAGCTTGCCAGGCTTTGCCGTGTGGGTGAGATACTCTCAGTAGCTTGTCAGAGGGGCAGGGGAATCGAACTTGGGTCGGCCATGTTCACCGCCTGCAAGGCAAACGCCCTACCCGCTGTGCTATGGCTCCACCCCAAAAGTATTACCAAACTTTCAAATACTTAAAAATTAATTTTATACTTGATTTTAATTTTTCTTCTTGGAAAATGAATTTTGGATTACAATTGGTGGTGCTCAGAGCTTTCTCCTGATTCATCATGCAGAGTTCACTCTTGGTTGGGCTCAGGGGACCATATGTGGTGCTGGAGGTAGAACCAAGGTCAGACACTCGCAAGGCAAGTGACCTACCCACTGTATCTGTCCAACCTATTTTAGACTTCTTAAAAGAATGTTTTGACAATCTTATTTTAAAAATGTAAAACACACTCAATTTTATGAAATTTTCAGTGCTCTGTAAATTTAGACTAGTTGGAATTTTACAGTGGATGCTCAAAATATTAATAATGTATCTCAGTATTTATTATCTGGAGAAATCCAGCAGTGGATATAAAAATCACATTTTATTTCATGGTTTTAAATTTTTTGTTTAAAATGTGGTATTTCAAAAACATGAATTATTAAAGCATGCAGAAGCAAAGGGAAATGTTGGGGCAGTAGAACAATTAAATGATCAATGGTAAAGGACACTCTAAGAAAGATGCTCTGAATAATAACATCTAAGTTATTTCCACTTTAGGTATTAAAGGATAAACTTAAAATATGTAAGATGACTCCTGTAGAGAAAGCAGATTGACAGACTAATCCCAATATTCACATATCCCAATATTTTCAGTAACAATTTAATAATATTTGAAAGAATTATTGCTTTACTTGCATATTTATTTATTGGTTTGAACTGTCTGCTACATAACACTTTATTGATTACTACTGATGCTCATTTCCTGACATATAACTTTCTAGTGTTAACATAAAAGCCAACATAAAATACAGTAGATGTTAACCATTGAGTTAACCATTGACCCATTGCCATATATAAACAAAGAGAAGACTAAAAGTTATAACATTCTTTTGTTCAAAAGAACACACTTTCCTTTATGACTAGCTTTATTAAAGGGAATTCATTTGGATAACATCGGGTAGGTCATGGGTGGTTTTTAATTTTTTGTTTCTGTGCTTGGACTTCACTCGAAGGGATGATTGCAGGTGACATATAGTTTTAAGAATCAAACTGGGTCCCATATTGAACTGCAAAATAAGAGTCTTAAACTTGACTATTTCTCCAGTCCATGGAGAATTGTTTGTAATAGAACTGTTATACAAAGAAGTTCAATCTGTCCTTCAGTAGTTAACCATTACTCTCTTCAGCTGATAGTGTCTGTGGACAGCATAGATTATCTGGATCTTTTGTTATTTCTGTTAATTTATTTCTTATATGTTTTAATAATTAAACTTTAATGTTTCAATAGTGATTGCATGATAAATCAAAGGCTTATATATATTGGTATAACAATTTCTGCTTCAACAGATTGGAAACCATTAGTTTTATCTTTCCATATCATAAATACATCTGAAATTATCTGTGGTGTACATTTAATATTAACATTTAACTACATGAATGTGATAAATTGCTGATAGAAATAAGGTACGAAAGTTTCTTTTTAAATTTTATTTTTTAATTGAATAACCATGAGATATAGTTACAAAGCTTTTGTGACCGGATTTCAGTCATACAGTGTTTCAACATCCATCCCTCCACCAGTGTACATTTATTTACTACCACCGATGTCTTCAATAACCTTCATGTCACCCCCCACCTCCCTCAAGCCTGCCTCTATGGCAGACAGTATGTTTTATATATATATATGTATGTATGTATATATATACATACATATATATCCCACAAATGAGTCCAGTCATTCTATGTCTGTCCTCCTTCTGAGTTATTTTGCTTAGCATGGTACTCTCCATGTCCATCCATTTATAAGCGAATTTCATTATTTCATTTTTTTCTAACACCTTTATAGTATTCCATTGTATAGATGTACTATAGTTTCTTTAACTAGTCTTCTGTTCTGGGCATTCCAGTTGTTTCCAGATTTTTGCTATTATGAACAGTGCTGCAGTGAATATAGAAGTGCATGTGTTATTTCTGCTGCATTTTTGCACCCTAGGGGCATACACCCAGAAGTGGTATTCCCAGAGGCTCAATTTCTAGTTTTCTTGAGGAATTTCCATGTTATTTTCCAAAAATCCTAGACCAGTCCGCATTCCCACCAACTATGAATGAGAGTCCTTTTCTCTACACATCCCATGCCAGTGCTGGTTGTTCTTATTCTTTTT